CATTTCTTTTCTTTTTTTTTCAGGATATTATGGGGGTACAAACATTTTGGTTACATGTTAAGACTTTGACACACTCAAACCATGATTTGAGGTGTGCCCTTTCGCCTCTACAACACTCACCACGTCCATTCGTTGTGAGTTTACCCACCCCCAAACCCCAAACCCCCAAAGAATATTACTGCTGTGTGAGCACCTTAGTGTTCCCATTTCTTATGAGGTGTAAAAAGCTAGCCTGAAAACACAGAGCCCCATTAAAGTAGGAGATTTACTTACCCCTTCTCATTTTTGTAAGTCCTTTGATTAACTTTAATAAGACTTCCAAGATCTTGGGTTCTTTATAACATTGGAAAAAAAGAAAAGATAGAGTAAGGGAGAGAGAGAGAGAGAAAGAGAGTGAAGTAAGAGCAACTCAATGATATATTCAGAATCTTTATGACAACGGCAGATTTTCCACAACAGAAGATGTAATCAGTGCCTAAAGGATCAGAAATCCTTGGAAATATTTAATTCAAGTGGCTCTATTCATCATGCAAAGTGCCAAAGAGACAGCTTGATACTAAGATACCAACCATTACTCAGTTATGATTGAATCAATTTAAAAGTAAAAGTTTTCACTGGGTCTCAGCTTTTATTTTCTTGAGTGTGAGTTGGTAGGGGGGCTGACTTTAATATATATGTTGTGATATTATCTTATTTAAGCATGGGAATCATTCACATCAGGGGTAAAAATCAATTGATAGACATTTTAAGTTTAAATACTTTGAGGATTTGAGCCATTTCTCCTAAAAAGGTCAAGGGTGTATTTATTAAAGGGTCCAAAGTGACCTTGAAAAAGTCAATATTACTATTATAGCTCCAGTGTTTTACATAAACTGAACAAATGAAATAAAACTTTCACATGCCAATGACTAAAAATTATGAGAGAATATAAAAGCCAATCCCTCTAAATTCCTCAATTTTCCAAGCGTTACACTTTTCCATTTTCATCTGTCTCTGATTTCACTGTGATAAGACTGTTGACACTTCAAGTTCTTTCAGTATAAGAAAGAATGAAGGGAGGGAGGGAAGAAGGAAAAAGAACTAGGACTCTTTCCCTACCACACCAACAAGATCAGTTATTCCTACATTGAAGCCTGGTTGCTATCAAGCTATCCCAGATTACAAATTGCTTCTCTTTTCTCCTTTTTCCTAGCCCACAAAATGATCTACTTGTGATGCTCGTCCTACTTTTCCCATCATCCACCACTTCTGTGGAGCTCTCCAAACTCCATTTTTTAAAATACCTGAAATTTCATCTATTGCTGTAAAGCTCATATAGCCGTGTACAGTGAATTGACTGTTTTCTACCTTCATCTATTCTATACTTGGAAAAAAATCACCTGCAGTATGTTGGCACGTTTACATAATAATCATATGTCGTTAATAAGCATTCAATGTCTGTGTGATGGTTACTGCCAACACTTTTCACCACATAGACTTTGTTAAGTGTTCTACATCAGAAAGGGTTGAGAATGCATCTGCCAAGATTGACTTGGAAAGCTAGAATACCATTCTGGGCACAGATTGGCACAGATAAATGGTTTTTAAAAATAACTGCGACAATAGAAATAATTCTCATGTTAGAAAGGCAAATTTAATGACTAACTAAATCCAAAGTAAACAGAAAATCTGGGGGAAAAATAGTAGAGATCTCATAAATCCTTACCCTTTGCCATTCTTGACTATTCTGGAATTTTCTTTAATGAAACTGTCAAGACTTTGGTTTCTTTCAACAAGAAAAACAATATAGTAATGAAATTCAATTTTCTAGTATATCAGTATCAGGCTAGAACTATAAGTTCATCTCTTAAATGTTACCAGGTCAGTTACTAATCATTAACTCATCTGATGATGCAAAATAAATAAAAGCACGGCCTTAAGATATTTACAAATACATATGAAGAGATACACATGTGGAGTGACTCAACCAAGATTCCAACTGAACAGTGCCTTAGTCCATTCTAAAGATGTCAGTGGTAAGGGGTTCTGTTCCCAGCACCTAAATGTCTTACCATAAATGTATTTAGTTCATAAACCAGCCCACTGAACACTAATTATAACAGCTAGTTATATTTCTTTCAATTTTATATATAAAGGGAACTTGGAGATCATTTAGGTCAAATCCTTCATTTTACGGGATGAGGAAACAGAAAGTAAATCATGTGTCCAGGTCACCCAAATTGATTTTAGTGGCAGGGCCGGCACTATTTCCTGACCCTAATCTGAGGCTACCAGCCTGCCTGACCCTCATCCTGAGCAGAAGGTCTCCCCTAGAAAATAGTATGTAGTCTAGGATTCAATCGAAGTGATCTGTCTTAATAAAATCTTACTCTTTGCCATCTTTGTCTGTCCGGGTATTCACACAGATGAGGCTTTCAAGGCTTTTGGCTCTGAAAACACAAAGAAATTCAAATAAAAGACTACATATTGAAATGAAATTGTGTGGTATCTTGAAAGGTCAGGTACAATAAACATTCTTCATGAATTGCTTATTTATTCTTACTGAATGGAAGAGCAGAAATCCCTCTGGGCAATTATGTCTGAACTAAATGTACAATGCTGAGAGCATTGTACATTTGCTAGTACATTTCCATGTGAGAGGATACAACTTCCTTGCAGCTAATGTCTAAAGGAATAAGATAAGCAATCTGAGAGATAAGATTTTCAGATTAAAGAAAGATACACTTACCTTTTTGCTGTTTCCTCTGCCTTCAGATTTGCTCTGAAGATACCGTCAAGACCTTGATTTCTTTAAATGCATTAATTAAAAAAAACCTTGTCAGTGGGAATAAAAGATGCTTAACTCTATAAGAATATAGACCAGTTTACATCTAAGGCAGGAAATAAAAGCTAGCTGGGAAAGATCAGCAACAATGCTTGAAATTGGCTTTATTCCAAATAAGTCTGTTCACAGACTCAAAGTTTAAATTGCAGTGGACCTTAGAGAAAATAAAATAATAAAAGATATAAACTGGGGATCTGAAAGCCACAATAGGTGGCCACAATAGATGTGTTGTTTGGGTTCAGGGAGCGTTTCTATTTTTAATGTGAGCCAGTGTTTACAAAGATGGCCATGACACATAAAAACCTGGATTTTCAGGATCTGCTGAAAATGTCCTGCAAATTGGGTTCAGTGGAAACGCTCAGCTGGAGCTGAGAAGCAGCCAGGTAATTTAGAAAGGGCATCTCCTCTCCTTTTTAGCCTAGTTCTCCCAGCACCTGTTCCATAGAATCAGCCCCCTTCACTCACACCTGCCCGGCCTTAAGAGGCCGTGGAATCTGCAACTCCTGAACTAATAATACCTCCACTGTTTGTAGATGAGAGAACTGAAAATCAGCAAGTTTAAGTGACCATTATTGCAAGAACAAGGTATGAAAAACACATCTTGTGATCCTCAGATCAATTAATCCATTTGATATTTGCTTTGTCTTTTCCTTCTCTTTGGTCCCCGCCCATTTGGTAGGTTAGTGTGCAATGAAACAGAGAGATAGCTAACGTGGACACACCTCTCACACAAACATCGATTATTCAGTTTTTTTCTCTTGCAAATTTAAAGTTATGCAATTATAAATCATTCAAAATAAGGAGATAATGTTAACTAAGATAATAAATTTTTTGTAATGGTTAAACTAAAAGTACTATTCAGTGATCAGACCAAACTCTGTTTACGTATTAGTGAATTAATATTTCAGGAAGAGAAATGTGGTTATTTACATAACTGCCTTAATAAATCAAAGACACTTTAATATTAGTATTTTTAGGCCTTAATAACCATTCATAATAATAATGAAATGATGGTGACTTCTGTAAGCTTTTTATTCAAGATTTGTAGGATACTTTTGACTAGCCTGGTATGTGGGTCCTTATGCTCAAAGACTGAAAATACATAAGAAGTCATAATATGTAGTTCAGTAATAAAGCCAAAAATAGACATGTAAAAATCATACCTATTCAAGCTTTTGTTCATTTTGATGAGATTATCCAATTCTTCACTTTTGGAAGAGAAAAAAAATCTCACATTAGTAAAGGCCTGCCCAGAGTCAAGGGGTAAATTCGCCTTAAAATAACTCTGAGTTCTCTGAAATACAATGCATGTCCCACCTTTATAATCTGCGAAAATCTTGATTATCCTTCAAGGTTCTACTCTAATACGACTTTCTCCAAAAAGCCTTTCCTAATCCTCCAACTGAATATAATCCCCTCTGTTTTTGGAACCCTTGCAGCATTTGGTTTTTCTGCATTTTCTTTATGGAAGTTCTGTCACTATGCTTTGCTTTATGGCCATTGCACACTTGTCTCGTGTCAATGCCCCTGCCCCTACACACACACACGTTCACACCACTTAAAATTTAGAACTGTGTTTTACATTGGATTCTCTTCAGTTTTTAATACAGTGTCTTTCATACAGTAGATGCTGAGTATACATTTTTAATTGAATCAACAAATATAGGTACATTGACTAATTATAGCTTTGCGCAATGTACTTGCACAAAGTAGTTACTGGACAATATTTGTTCATCAGTCAGCCTAGCTTCTTTTTTGAATTCTACTCCTACCTCATTTTCAGGTCAGCTAAATTTGCTCGCCTGTTTCCACATTTGAGAACTGCAAAGCCCTTTCTGCCTGCTTCTTCAGGAGCAACCTATTTAAGCCAAACCCCTGGGTTCAAGAATTTTACTTAAACCACATGGCTCAGTTTTCTCCCCCAAGCAGACAGCAGGTATGGCGGGTGGAGGTTTTGCAAAAGTGCTCTTGGTGCCTTCCTCCTGTTCCCTTTCACAGCATGTCCTCTCCCCAACTTCTCTGTCCACACCCCCTACCCCTTTTTCTCTTGTCTTCCTCATCCAGCTTTTCTGTTCACAAATCTTGGCTCTCGCTTCTTCCTGCTCCAGAGTCATAGGTTTTCCAAGCTTTATCAATATTTCACGGTCTTCCTGAGTCATCTGTGGTGTTGACCAGGATGCTGTAAGACCCAGTAACCCAGTAATTACACATTCAGGCTCCAAGGTCAAGAACACCTGGAGTCCAATCCAGGATTCACCATTTATTCATTGGTAACCCTGGGTGAGTTCCTTAACCTCCTGCTGACTCAATTTTCCCATCTGTAAAATGAGAAACTAATCTTACCCACCTCAGAAAAGAATCAATAGGCTAATGGATATAAAGTGCTAAGCATGATGCCTGGCAAGTTACAAATTCTCAATTAGTTTTGGACATTATAATAAATAGTGCCCTGTCAATACTAAATTTTTCATTTAATAAATGCTTGCTATATTTATTTATATTTGTTTTTTAACTGCATTTAGAAACACCAAGACTTTGATGTAGTCTTAAAGAGATATAGTTACTGAGTCACTTATGTGCTTGAAGATGCCTGGCACAATATTATGGCCAGAAGAGCTGCTGAAGGCAGTCCTCTTGGAGACCCTAAAAATATCTTAAATTCCCAGCCACCACATAGATGAATCCACTTGGTTCAATGGTAGGACTGAAGACTGAGAATAAACACTGAAATACAAAAGTCACTGCCTCTGACAAAAAATTGATGAATACTCTATCCTTGTGTGAGACAAGCACTACCCAGTCCCTTGATACAGTGGCCCATTATCGTTTCTTGCTTGAAATTCTACCTTCCAACTCTGAGGCTGCGAATCTGTTCAGGTCCCCAAGGGAAAGAACAAACCCAAGAATCCTGTAAATTTTAGCCCATACCTTTCTAACTGGCATGAGTCACAATGATGAGATTATCAGGTTTAGGGGTTGCTCATGTTTATCACAAGAAAATTAGCACAAATCATGAGAAGATACTCTGGTAAATTTAAAATTAGTAAATTTAAAAAATGGATACTGTATTCCAAATAAAGAATTCGAGCTTTCAAAATGACTTTAAATTGGTGAAAGCTTCGAATATTAAGTTTCACCACTGCATTTGCAACAAATTAAATGCTGTTGATCAGACAGCAGTAACACTCCATTTCACAAAGAGCAGCTCAGAGAAATAAAGCTATTTCTAGTCCCTGGGGTCGGCCCACAGCAATAGTCTGTGATGACTATGTCAATGCAACAGACATTTTCCCCGGTCCTTGTCAAGCACAACTTCTCTCTGTGATGAATATACCTGGCTGTGGAATCCGTGCCTTGTGGCTAGGGAATGCGGACAGGAAAGTTAAACTCACTGCACCTCTCATTGCTTCTGTTTGATTTACGCCACACCACAATTCCCCTTCAGCATCACTCACTTGTCTTTCCCCCAGACATCCCAATCGCCCACCAGAAAACTGTCCGATCCCCATTGAAAACAAAATATTGCCTCCAACAAAAATAAATCAATAAAATTAGAGAGCTAGGCACTTAGAAAAAAGAAGAAATGGAAATGAAACATTCAGGAGACTGTCTACAGTCTTGGTCTGGATTCAGAGCTCCTATTTTGTTTATGAATTTGCACAGAAAACCCAAGTTTCACTTTTGTTTCTTCTCTTCATTCTTTTGACAGAGACTGCAATCTGTAGTAACATTCTCAGCAGTATAATTCCATTAAACAAGGAATATTTTTGTGGGCTTGGGATTTAAATGATGGAATATTCATACTCAAGGTTTTCTCACTACCTGTCACTGTTTTACCATAATTTATTTTATGAACACCTACTTTGCACAAAGCATCATGTCATACACTGAGAATGGTGGATAATACAAAATATCTTCCCTGAGAGATTACAGAGATGAAAGATGATTTACACAAATAACATAAAACAAAGCCAAATATGATTCAGTACTATAAAGTATGAATAGTAGGGCTCCTATAGCTTGGAGAGGCGGAAGTCACACTTCACTGGATCACTCAGGGAAGACTGACAGAGGAGGGGATATTTGATCCGGATCTTGAAAAACAGGTAGGATGTGGATGGATTGATAAGGCAGGCTAGGGGCTGGAAAAGACTGTCATGTGGCACAAACAAAAGCAGAGTATCTGGAAATTTTAGCAAGGAAGTGGTTTAATTTGATATTGAGGGTAGGATAAATATATGGGTGAAGTAGGAAATAACTCTGGAACATTAGGCTAGAGCCAGGTTAGCAAGGCCCTTGAATGAGGTTCTATGTAATTGAATGGGCAGTAGGAAGCTGGTACAGTGATTGAGCAGAATCTTAGGGAAAATAATTCTGGCATTGATGGGCAGTAATGGTTTAGCAGAAGGAAAGACTGAGGGGTCTAAGTAAATCTGGATAGCTACTCTAATAACCTATGCACGAGTCAATGAGGGTCTGAAGGAGAAGCCATGTGGGCTTGAGGGGCATTTTAGACCTTCAGTTCATACATGCCTGTTACTACATGGAGGAGGAGAGAGACAGAAGAATCAAGAATGATTCCAAGGACCGGGCATGGTGGCTCATGCCTGTAATCTCAGTTACTTGGGAGGCTGAGGTGGGAGGATCATTTGTGGCCAGGAGTTTGAGACCGGCCTGGGAAATATAGCAAGACCCTGCCTCTACAAAAAAAAATTAAAAAAAAAAAGAATGATTCCAAAAAGATGAGCCTGCAGAAATGGAAGAACAGAGAAGAAGCCAGGAAATAGCACACTTGGGATAGAAGTTGAATATTTGAATATGGCCTTGGGCATTCTGTGTAGGGTGCTGGGAGACAGATGGGAGACATAAATACAGGACTAGAGACCTGGAATGAGGCTTGACAGCTAAGGTCACTGGGATGAGTCACCAGAGGAGGCAGCAGCAGAAGAAGAGTGTCCAGGAATGTCTACACCATCCACTGTTCAGGGGTACTTACCTCCTTTTAAATTATATACAACAAACAGCACTGGGGTTTTGTTTATATTGTAACTTTCAGATGTACCAGTTAAGCATTTTTCAAACACAAAGAAAGGAAAAAAACAAGCTCAAAAGCTCTGAGATCTCACCCCTTGTCAGTTTTCTGAAGTGAAGTGGCCACTTTGATGATGTTGTCAAGATCCTGACTCCTTCAAACAATGAGAAACCAATATAGGTCAATGACAGTAGAGCTATCTTTCAAAGTGCTGATATTTCTTATCTGTTTTCAGTGGAGAAAGTGATAGTCCAGATGTTGTTCAGGAATTATTGACTTTAGCAGAATAACAAAATGGTTCTATTCTATCAGCCCTTGGCACACAGAGACATGTGCGTGCCCCATTGACAGAAACACACACACACACACACACACACACTCCCCACTCTTTTTCATTTCACCTCGGTGTTGGCTCTGCCATCTAGTGCTCACCGAAATAACTACATTTTCCCCTAAGGACTTGTATTGGCAGCTCCCAAGTTTATGTTTAAAAAAAAAGACATGGAAAAGAAAATCCAGTTAATTGCACAAGTAACATAGAGTGAATCTGGAAGTTTTTCTATTGGAGCCAAAGAGCATTAAGCAAAGATCCAGACAATTAATTAGTCCCTCTAAAGGGATGAAGATATCTGTCGTCTAAGGCTGTAAGACAGGTGAAAGCACCTGAGACACAAAGGGCTTGGATCCATGCCAATCTCCCTGGTCATGAATAGGAATAATTAGGAAAATCTTTATAGCTTTCCTGTAATTAATAACTGTGTTTCACAAACAATGTCTCATAGAAGGTTAATAAGGTTTCATGAAGAAAGGATGTTATAGTCAAGTAAGTTTGGAAAATGTAACCTGCTTTTGGTAATTCAGAATCCACATAAGTTCACTGAAGGTTGTGAAAAGTCCTGTGGCAGAGAACTCTATTTTTGTTTTCTAAATGTATCGGACCATTGAACCCTTCTTTCACAGAGCATGTGTGGACATTTTGTGCCACATGGCACACAGTTTGGGAAATGCTGAGAGTCGGGCTTTCAGTTACCAGGTACAAGGGAAACATGATTCTCCCCAAAGGTGAAGAATTTGTGTGATGTGTCTTTTGAACTGGGACTCTTCTGGAAGTCAAAGGGGATAATATAAAAACACAAAAAGCATATGTTTTGAACTTCAAAAAAAATTTTTTAGTCAAAGAAATCTTTTGACTAAAAATTGGTTTATCATATTGATAGACCTATGAAATAATATTGTTTAAAAACTATTTTCAAAAATAGCATTTTTTTCTAAAAAGAAAAAAAAAAACAGATATAACCAGAACAAATACTAGACAAGATAGGACATGCAAGACAACAGGTGTAAATCAGGACTCTCATGGGGAAACCAGACATTTGGGGAATGTCACTGTACCCAAAGGCATCAACACAGTTTATGTGCCTCTTCTGATGGCACCGGAGGAGGTAGACATGACTTTGTACAGTCACCACTAGGCAAAGCTTTTGTAATACAAGTTCGACTAAACAACTGTGTTTCCACCTCTTCATTTATACATCCACACCAACTATGTCATAGATCTCGTTGGAAGTGCTGGAAACAAAGAGGAAAACAAACTGTCTTTCCTTCAAGAGGTTTGATCTTATACTGTTATCATATTCAGACAATTTTGGTTGTTTTCTTAATGTAAAGCTTAGGATAGAAATAAAAAAACCAAATTCTATAAGTACTTATAAAAACATTTATTATCCATCATATTGAAGTCAGCTGGAAAATTGATTTTATCTACTTTATTAATGTTTTATATTTTTAAAGTGTTTTAAATAAAGCATACTTTATCATTGCATATTGCATATCTACAATTACATAGATACAGATAGAGACCACCGCATCATACCTGATGTTTCTTTCAGAGGATCTGTTGGTTTCTGTACGTACACCTGGTTTAGGTGGACATATCTGCCTGTATTTTCAAAGTTAAAGATAATGTCCGTTAGGTAAGAAAACACTTCTTTGTTCAATTTAAATTTATAAGAAAACATTCATGTTCAAAAAAGATCAGTGTGTGTTGGAACCCTACCACTACTTGAGATAACAAACTTGAACTCTTTGGGTTGGCTAGAATTCAACCACCTCCTATTTGAAATTCTAAAGAGTCCAATATATTCTTTTGTAATTTCATCTATCTCTCTTTTCATAGATTTTAAACTACTGGAAGTGTCTAGAAATACCTGTTCTAAATATGTTCATGTGGGGTTTTATTGGCCTCCATTCATCAGTAAAGCATTTTCATATTTATCTCTATTAGATAGTGATATAATATTTTTAAATAGTAAGAATCTTTTTTGTTATTAGGCAACAAAGGAATAGTTTTTTTCTTAGATTTATCCCATTTGAATACTATCAAGAAATATATTTGCTCAGATAAGATAGGAAATAAGTCTGTATCTCAAGTTCACCTACCACATTGAGCATGACCACACTGAGCTGACAGAATTAAATTTTACTATGTTAGGTTCTGTCAAAATTTATGATATAAGGCTTCTCTCTACTCTTTTTCTGAGTATCTGGTTGACCTACTTACACATTCTTGCTTATTCTCAAGAAGATATATTCAACTATTTTTTGTACTCCTGAGGACATGTGTTAATTACATAGGAAACACTTTCCTTTCATATTCTTTCATTAAAATCATCATGCTGTGATTAAAGTAATCAGGGTTTTAAAAACAGGCAAGTTGTCCCAATTTTGTTTTTCAGATCATTGGTGGAGGAAAGAAATTAGAGTAGTAAAAATGGATTAGACCAATTCCTATGAAATTTACTTTCTTTTAAATATAAACAAGATTACAATGCTAGCGTAACTGATTTTAGATTAGAATTTAGGTGTACTAAGGCCAATTAATTTTAGCCCCTTAAAAATTCTATTCAAGTAAGATTTAATTGCTTAATTCTATAAGAGTTAAAGGAAAAATAATGTAAGATAAAAAGTTTGAGAAGCTATTTTTAAGAGATAATTATAACCATCATACAAATAAGAAGTTATAAATCCGATCTACATTTTTCATCAGTTCAGTGAAGAAATATTCTCTTGACTCATTAAAAAAAATTATCCTCACATCCTAAGGACAAAATTTCAAAGATCCTGTGAAGTTTCACTGAATAGAAATTCAGACCTGGAGTTTTAACCAACGAGATGAACACCTAATGCTACATACTTCTGCTGCCCAGTCAGCACTTTCCAGCTGAAGTTCCTCTCTTACTGAGAAATATTTCTATGATTGTGTCTACCAAAGAATAGTTCTATCTATAATTGTGTCTCACATGGTGTCAAAAAATCACCATCCAAAAGCAAAAATACAAAAAAATCAAAGGCAGGCAATCAAGCAGATCTAATGGATTCAGTCTTCAGTGAGATACCATTTTTTAGTCTCACCATAATAATGGAAATGTGGGATGTACATCCTGAAAAATGGTCCAAAATATATTAAACGGCGTAACAGGAACACATGGGAAGATTTTCAGATCTTTGAATTTGTTTCTAAGTATTAATTATAGAATGACACAGATTCAAAGCTGAAAAGCAAGTCTGTTTTTCCTGATTTGAAGACAAGTTAATTAGAACATTTTTTCAAAATTGGTGATAGTTTTGAAATACATCACAAATTTCTTAACTAAATAAAAGATAAAGAACTACCCAAAGATATTTCTAACGTGAGGATTTGAGTGGTAACACGAAGTTTCAAGAACATCTTTCATCAGAATATGTAGCTTTCAATGGTAAACTTAACTTGCAGTAAATACAAATATATATATATATTGTTTAATAGGCATGTATTTATACTTTATATATAATATATATACCAAATACATATGTATTTTATATTTATATATTAGGAGCTAGTATATAAGAAACCTGTGCACACTTTCTGAACATGAGTATTGTTCCCTTTGTATCTTGAAGGTTATTCCTTAAGATTAGTAATAGTCATCAGTATTCAAGGGCAAACATAAATACACATGTGCATTGGCAAATAAAATTAGAAAAAGCTCTGCAAGTGCTTCTTTAGCGAATGTGCACACAAAACATATGCATGCTTTGCACAAAGCAAGTCACAATTCATTTACTTTCATTTCTCTTGAATTTCATTTTGGTAAGATATTATGGAGTACTAGGTCTTACCTATTATCCTGTCTCAGGTGTTTAGGAGAAGAAACAGGAGAACTGGGTTTTGGAGGTATTGGAGGGTGAAAAGCTGGTTCCCTTTAAAACAGAAAACAGCAGTTCATTTTACCATGGAAACATGATAAATTTTAGCATCTATTAACCAAATGCATTTATTGCCTACGTGGAAGTACCTCTTGCATCTTACAACCCCATGTGGAAAAGGTCAGAAACTATGGAGCACTAAACCCTAAAGAAGTCAAATATTTAAAATATGAGTATTTTAAAAGTTCATTAAATCAGACTTTTAGAAACCCTATCCTCTTTCACTATAGTGTGAACTATAATATGTTCCTTAAATAAATAGCTTAATGTTTTGCTAGTGTATCTAGCGCAAGTCATGGCATTTTGAGTCTGCAATGCATGAGCATTGTAAGTGATTCTTGGGCATTAACATATAAGCTTCTTTAGGGATTATGTCAGCTATCAGGCTTCTATGGAAACGGCAAAAAGGTTTTTAATTTCAGAGGCCTCAGTTAAAGTTTGATTTGAAGCTCTTAACTGAATCTGACTTAAATATTGTCAGCACAGGCCAGTTTGATCCTGGGAGAGCACATGTATATACTGTCAGCCTAAATTTTCCAATGACACACCAAGGTAGTCTCTGAGTTGGCAAAATTTAATGACCTAAGAACTGGAGATGGGCAATTGCATGCATATTTTGGATGGAGTGAGCACTTTACTAAAGGCACATCACTCCTCCACTCTCCCACCACAACCCCAGTGGTTCTCTATGTGTCCTCAAGATAAAGTCTTCACCTAGTAGAAGCACCTTGTGATCTGGACTCCATGTATCCTCTGGCTTTTGAAACACAGTAGGTTGGTGTGTGGTCTGGAGTCAGGTGGCTTGAACTGCCAGCTGTGTGGTAATGGGTTAACCCAATTCTGTTTCTTCATCTATAATAATCCTTCTAATAGGATTGTTGGGGTATTATCAGGACTGAATGAGATCGTGCTTTTATTCAACAAATATTTATTGGTAGCTTTCTATGTGCAGGGCACTCTGCGAGCAAATATATGTCACAAGAAGAAAAGTGCTATGCAAAAAATAAAACAGAGTAAGGGTATATAGACTGATAGAATGGGGGCACTATTTTATTTAGAATGGCCTAGGAAAGCCTCTCTGTAAGGTGAAATTTGAGCCAAGATCTGGAGAAAGTGATAGAATCTAGCATACAAAATGGGCATCATTAGCTTACAGATGGTATTTAATGCTTGAATCTGGATGAGATCACTAGGGGAGTCAGTGTAAGTAGAGAAGAAAAGAGCGCCAAGGGTTGGACCCTCTGGCCCTGTAATATTCAGAGGTCAAGAATATGAGATGGAAACAGCAAACGAGTCGAGGAGGAGTGGCCAAGAAGAAGACAACATAAATAGGAGGGCGTGGTATCCTGGAAGCCAAGTGAGAAACGTGTTTCAAGGGAGCAGTAATTGGCCCTGCCAAACACTACTGTTAAATCAAATAAAACAAAGACTAGGAAATTACCATGGTTTCAGCAACATAGTGGTCATTGGTAACTCTGATAAGAGCAGTCTGAATGGAGCAGAGGTGAATAAAACATTGTAGGAGTGGATTTAGGAGACAATGGGAAGGAAAGTGGTAGAGGCATCGATACTGGTGTTTGGCCATGAAGAGGGAAGAGAGAAACACGTAGCTGCCTGGAGCTTGAGGAGACAAGGAAGGTTACTACAGCTTGTAGATATCATGATGAGAATGATCCAGTGAATCACGCTGCAGGAGAGTGAGGGGCAGATGCTAGACAGATGTCCTTGAGAAGTGACAGGACTTAAGGCACAAGTGGGGTGGTTGGACAGAAGCACAAGGCTCGTTCACAGGAAAAAGCAGGGAAGGAACTTAGACAGGTACAGCTGAGGTATGTTAGTTGATCCAGAGTGGAGAAAGTTCTCTTTTGTTTACTTCTATTTTCTCAGTAAAATGGGAATCAAGATCATTAATTCGAAGTGAGGAGGGTGAGCAGGAGGAGGCAAGAAAGAGAGAGAGAGAGAGAGAGAGAGAGAGAGAGAAAGTATGAAATGGTTTTCTAGGAGAGGAGGGGAGCAAGTGGACCCAGAAATGAAATATGATGATAATAATAGCACACCGTTATATGGGATTATTATGTGCTGGGAACTTTTCTAAGCATTTTACAAATATTAACTAAGTTAATCCTCACTGCAATCCCAGAGACAAGTATTATTCTTCTTCCCATTTTACAGATGAAAAGACTGAGGCACAGAAAGTGAAAATAAATATCTCATGATAATCCAGTCCATAAGGGGCAGAGTAGGGAAGTGAACCAGGAAACCTGAGTCCACAAACCCTCCTCGCGCTGTGCTGCCCCTCAAGGGATCCTTAGGCAGCACCAATGGCTCAGTTAAGGCTAGTACTCATAGAATTAAAATCAGGTCATTTGGCTTTGTCTTCTCTTGCCATAGTCAGCTGTTTTGAGGGCAGGAAGAGAAGATATAGAGATTTGGATTTAACTAAGTTTATAATTCAGCCAAGTGAGTGCAACAAAGAGAAGGATGGCAAAGAAAATGGGTATGTATGATGGAAGGGGTGTGTGAGGAAGGGATTACAATGAGGGACTGTGGGGTCAGAGATGGGTATAGACAGGAAGCAGGATATACAAGGGGTGAGGGATTGTGAAAAAGATGGTTGAATCAATGGTCTGGTGATTGTGGAGGGGCTGAGGAATTACTGGAGGCAAAGGACTGGAGGGAGCTAGAAAGACAGAAAGCAGGAACCAGAGAGGAAAAACTTAGACACTGGCATTTTGTCATTTTGTAGGTGTGTGGTTATTTACAAGGGCACGTCCCATGGGAGGCTGATCACAGGAGAGGGGGTCATGAAAGTGAGAGGCTAGGCTCGGGAAGGACCTTCCACGTGGATTTTGAATCACCGAGCATTATGACAGGAGGAGGGTTTGGAAAAGGCAATGAGCCTGGTGCTAAAGTCTTCAAAGAATGAGGGTGGATGACTCAGAAACCTTCAGATGACTCCAACAAGGAAGAGAAGCTCATGATGGCATGGCTTCAGAGGAGATGGGGAGTTTTAGCGCGGAGGGAGTTAAAACTGACGGGAGGTGGCAATGAGGGGCAAATAAGACCCCTACCCTTCCTCTAGACCCTGCGATATGTTGGGTTAATGGAAAAACAGTCCTTACTGAGAGGAAGGCTGTGGAGGCAGGTTCTCTAGAAGAGCCCAACAGAAACATGAGAGGCCGCGCGGGGGAAGGCTTTGACAATGATGCCTGACACACTCAGCGAGGCAGATGGAAGGGTTTAAGAGCTCATGGTGACATTAGATGGGCACAGGTTCAGAATGTACAGAGTACTGTGGGGACGGTCCAGGTGACAAGAAATGAGCTGACTGGGGTTCCTATGGGGATCCATGGACATGGGGAGGGAGGACATGATGGAATCAGTCCTGAAGACCCCTCAGTGTGTGGTGGTGGGCTCTGGGTGTTGGGCAGTGGAACACTGGAGCCGCAGAACAGCGGACATGGTAGGTCTCCTGGCTCCTGTTGTTGATGGTGACATTGAAGCCAGAAGAGGACATGCAAACCCCTAGAGCATGTCCTGGCTCGCGGGAGGTGCTCAATAAATGTCTTTGCTCTGGCTGTCATTTTTATCTCGCATGAACCCAATGCTGCAGCAGTGCCAAACACTTGTACTCCCTAAACCCACCCCGCCATGTTCTCTCTCCCCTCTGGAGTAACCCCTACCCCCTCTCACCTGGATGCTCACTCATTGCCCTTCAAATTTTGGCTTAGGAATTACCATCTTCAGTGGTACCCAAAGCTGTGCTAGGTACATCCCTATGTTTTCCCATAGCAATCCTATTCACAGCACATATCACACTATTCTTTTTTTTTTTGAGACAGAGTCTCACTGTGTTGCCCGGGCTACAGTGCCATGGTGTCATCCTAGCTCACAGCAACCTCAAACTCCTGGGCTCAAGCAATCCTTCTGCCTCAGCCTCCCAAGTAGCTGGGACTACAGGCATGCGCCACCATGCCCGGCTAATTTTTTCTATGTATTTTTAGTTGTCTGATTAATTACTTTGTATTTTTAGTAGAGACGGGGTCTCGCTCTTGCTCAGGCTGGTTTCGAACTCCTGAGCTCAAACAATCCTCCCGCCTCGGCCTCCCCGAGAGCTAGGATTACAGGCGTGAGCCACCGTGCCCGGCCCACACTATTCTTGATTACATATGATACTCTGTTTCCATGCTGGACTGAAATCTCCTAAAAGGATAGTTGTGTCCCAAGTACTCAGATTGTGCATGACATAGGTGTCCAGTGAAGATGTGTTGAGTGAATAAAGGGGCCAGCGATTGGCTAAATTTCTGTTTGGTGGGGAGGAAATGGGTACTGATGAGGGACCTGCAACTTTCAAACTCTGTGCAGCTTTCTCATAGAAGAAGTGCACTGTCGATTCCACTACAGAGCACTTACTAAGTGCCCGGTGTGCAGCTGACTCATTGTGTTGTACAATATTTCTGGAAGAATAATTTACATGGAAATAATCTCCCCATCCTGGTGTAGTGTCAGATTCTACAGTTACAAATTATTTTGTTTGTATTACTACCATCTTTTTTTCTAAAAAAATCCCCTTGTTTTGTGTTAGGTGATAGAGTCTTTAGTGTATCTGTGTGGATCAGCTGATTATATGCTTTCCTGCCAGAGGTATGGGAAAGGCAGAAGGAGGTGGTAGGTCGTGGCTAGACAGAGCACTGGACATCTGAAAGCAGGCAGGAGAGAGGGAACAAGATAGAAAGGGGCATTACAAAAAGTTGAAATGGGACGGTGTCACGCTTTGCTTATGCCAGATTCATGTTGATAAAATGCTAACTTTCTTCAATTTGAGAATGTCTGAGGCCTCAGTGAGGTGGGTAAATATTGCTTGGGTGGGTCTAGGAGGCAGAGATGGGTATAGGTAGATCTGAGATGGTCTGGAGAGTACTCAGGAGAGAAAAGGTGAGTGTGAGTTATTATGAAGGCCAAGAAAAGCAGAGGACCATATTTATTTCCGAGGG